CTTTGTAGCCCCAGGCTGGTCTCAAACTTGCAACAATCTTCCTGCCTCAGCCTCTGAGTGCTGGGGTTACAGGGGCACACCACAATGCCAGCTTGCCTGTGATTTTTTGGCTTGCCTGGGATTTCTTAAAGATACCCTTGAAGCTACACAGTTGAGCTGCACTTTGGGTTCTGCTCAAAGTGGACTGTGCTCTGTGAGCTTCTCCACTACCCAGGGCGGAGCTCAGACTGGATGATTTGTTAACCTTCCTCACATAAACAGGCCCAGATGGGGGCTTCTGAGGGGGGCAGGGCCTGAGGAGTCAGAGGCTGGGAGGAGGCTGTGGGAGCCAGCCAGCCTTTCTGCCCTAAATAGGCAGGCTGGGTGCCGGCCCTCCCTGGCCCTCCTCCCCCTGCGAGGCCAGACAAGCCGCTTTTGTCTCAGGGTCAACTGCCAGCGGCCGTTCCCTCCGGCCTCAAGCAGATCACGGAGGCAAAGACCTGGGGGTCTGGGCACCTCTGTCCCTGCCATATTGGCCCCCACTCCCTAAAAGACCACGGTTACTCGGGGGGGATGAGAAGCACTGGGCATCTAAGGGGGTGCATCTTGGTGGGAAGGGAGCCAGGGGGGTGGGGTGGGGTGTGGTCTCTAGGCCGTAAGGCACCTGGCCAAGAAGAGCTGGGGATCACCACTGCGGTGCCTAGAAGGTGGACTCACAGAGCTGTGGGGTTGGCCTGTTTTATCCCTGTGAAGGAATCCGCCTGCAGCAGGAGGCACTAGAGGAAGACTTGCAGAAGGACTTTCCATCGGTAATAAGGGGCAAAGAGGGGGAGACGGAAGTATCTAGGGAAGGTCAGCTAGCATCATGCACACGTGTAATCCCAGCACTTGGGAGGCTGATGCAGGAGGATCTCAAGAAGAGTTCAAGGCCATCCTGAACTCATCTCGAGACCCTGTCTCAACAAAACAAAACAAAATAAAAACAAGAAAGGAAGGTCAAAGACTAGGAGGTGGCAGACCCAAGGCTAAGGGATCTGCTGGGTCCTGGCCACCAGCTGTCACTGCTGAAGACACAGCAGGAAGACCCGAAGTTAGACTCAAAGAGGAACCATCCAAGAGGGGTTACAGAGCTGTGAGCACGGCAGGGAGACAGCTGAAGGGAGGGGAAAAGAGATGGGGCCCTCTAAGAAGGAATGAGGTGGCCAGAGCTTGGGGACCTTGTGACCATCCTGCTTCCCACATGTCCCCAGGAGGCCCTGCCTGGGCTCATCTGGGATCTGGGCCAGCAGCTGGGAGACCTGAGCCTGGAGTCGGGGGGCCTGGACCAGGAAAGTGGGCGCAGCTCAGGTGAGCATGGGAGGGGGAGGAGGGTCTTCCTGGGGGCCCCCAGTTCCCACCATCCCCGATCTCTCCCCGCCCCCCTCCCTTCCCCAACCCCAATGGTTTCTTGGCTTCTTCCTGAATGCAGGCTTCTACGAAGACCCCAGTTCCACGGGAGGCCCAGATTCTCCACCTTCGACCTTCTGTGGGGACAGTGGCTTCTCCGGATCTGGCTCCTATGGACGCCTGGGTCCCTCTGAGCCCCGGGGCATCTATGCCAGCGAGAGGCCCAAGTCCCTAGGTAAGGTGGATGGGGTTTGGGGCCCTGAAGCCAGGAAGAGGACAGAGGGTGGGACGCTTCTGAGTCAGCCCTGGACTCCAGTTCTGGCTGGGACCTTTCCTCTTCGCGTGACTTTTGAGCATCTCTCTCCTCTCTGGGCCTGCGTTTGTCCGTCTGTTCAAATGGGTAATAAGTAGGGATGTTTCCAGCATGTAGTGAGCTTCTGCCCTCAGGCACCACCGACTGCTGTTAATCATTCACACAGCAGGTCTCTGAGCCCCTACTCTAAGCTAACACTGTCCTAGGAGTGAGGGGCTCAGCAAAGTCATTATGGAATGGACCTTCTATTTGCAGAAACATAATAAACAAGATAAGTAAGGTATTTAAGGTACTAGATATTGATACATGCTAGAGGAGAAATAAACCAAGGAAAAAAAGGAGGAGCCTCCCTTGAGTTTGGAGAGGAAACAGGACTTGTAGAAAATATGACTAGCCGGGTGTGGTGGCACAGGCCTGTAATCCCAGCACTTGGGAGACTGAGGCAGGAGCACCGACACAAGTTCGAGGCCAGCATGGGCTATATAGTGAGGCTAATCTGAGCTACATAGTGAGACTCTGTCTCAAAAAAAAAGTCCTGGGGAGGGTCTGACGGAGACTGTGACACCTGAGTGGCTCCCTGAAGGGAGAATGGGCCAAGCACATACTGCAGGGGAAGGGCATCCCAGGAAGCAAGAGCGGCTAGTGCAAATTGGGTCCTGAGGCTGCAGCTTGACTGTCCTGTGCATCTAGGGCCATGTGGCTGGAGAACTACACAGGACAGGGTAGATCTGGGATTTAAAGACACAGAACTAGGCCAAATCCTGCAGGGTTTTGTAAGAGGGAAGGGGTGCAGCCAGGCTGCTGCCCAAGTGAGGTGGGGAGGGAGGCTGCCTGCCTCTTCCTCCCAGGCTGGAGGAGAAAGGACTTTGAGAGCCCCTCCTCCCTCTCCCTTTTCCGCTCCTTCCCTAGGAGACGCCAGTCCCAGCACTCCGGAGTCGGTGGGCGCTAGGGCAGCAGTGCCACGCTCCTACTCCGCGCCCTACCCGACGGCGGCGGGCTCTGCGGGCCCAGACGCCTGCTCCTCTGCCGAGCGGCGGGCGCGAGCGGGCCCCTTCCTGACGCCCAGCCCTCTGCACGCCGTGGCGCT